TACATATTGATTTGATTCATTGATTCATACAAAATAAACACCAATAAACCCGAAAAATAGTTAACGTTTATGGCACAGCGCTCTCATCGCGACTAACTGTGCGAAGAAACCATCGATCTCATTAGTGACGCCGATAACTTTTCCAATCGTTTCACGTCCTGCAGTTGATTGGTACTGAATTGAACGCAAACCACATCATCGGTCATTTTCATCGTCAACTTGCCATCTCGATGGTTGTACTTTGTCACAAACCTATAACATCAAGTTCAATATCGAACCCAATAAATGGACCCAAAGAAATTCGTGGACCACGCCAAAAGTCTGCCGTTCCTATACGAATTCAGTGTAACACCGCGACATTGCCAGGCTCAACGAACACTTTGAAAATGCAAAGAAAAAGCACCAACTGCGCCACGAGCGATACTTGCAGGTCAGAGGTTTTATGGCGATTACAACACCACTCAAAGTGACGTAATTCTGACTCAACAACCCCCACATCCAGGAAACAGCATTATTAGTCATAAAAAGGTATGATTGAAGATAACGCTCTTCGAGCTGGCTAATGGATCAACCACTGAAATATGAGCCATTTTCTCACTGTTCCTTTTTAACAATAGAGGTTGTAAAATAAACAGGTTGCATAGTGATTTTTATGGCTACAAAAAACGTCGCTCATTTCGTTGGAGAGTTAGGAAACAGGGGGAAACATTCATAAACACCTGGAAATCGCCCCTCAACTTAGTTTATACATTTTTGATTCCCTAGAAAATTCAAATTAGACTATTTTCCGAGAACAAAAAAATACAACAACCACCACTTCATCGGTACACACACTGCGTAGCTAAATCAGCTGGATTGTGCAGAACGACTTTCAGTAATGTATGGAAGAAAGTTAGGCACTGATGGCAACTTTCACAAGTTCCATGCCACCAGCCGGCCACTACAAATGGTAGCAGCGCAAAAAAAAACTGTTCCATTAATTTTCAAGAGAACTTATTGTCATCAAGGCGCCTGTCGACTTCACTTAAAAAGTTGAAAGAAAGAAGGTGTCAGCAGTTGCAACTTTGATGGAATAGGTGAGATGGGGTCAAACGCTTGGACAACCCAGTGTTGTAACATTAACAACATCGAATAGCGCTGGCATTACGGTCTTTTATTCACCAATAACAGCAATTCCTTTTCGAGTTATTGAGCAAACTCGGTCAGTCAACCCGAGCGTGAACGAAGAGGCATTCTTCTATGCAGTGTAAAGTTGAGATCTCTATATAGAAATTGTGAGGAAATCCTTACCAGAGCGAACTAATCTGGAGCTAGTAAAATAAACTTGATGCAAATGAAGGGCAGTCGACAAAATCGGAGGGGTTTGTTGAGAAGCAGGGCGCTAATCTGGAATCGCACCAACAACTCAGAAATATGTGACCTCAGCGAAAATCGAAAATTTGGCAAAAATGTTGATAATGAGCTACAACCGGGTCAGATGTGAAACCAACCCGATTATTCATGGTAACTTTACCACAAACAAAAAATCAATTATTGCATACTGCAAATACAGAAAATCGAACTCTACTAGTTTGCGGTTTCTGTGTATTTAGAGGGAAATGCAATCAATTTCATGAAAGTGCACTGATTTATAAGTTTGAGAGATATGCTGAATGCTCCCGAAAACAGAAATATGGTTACTAGTCAGATTTTTTTTCTCTATTAGCAATCCCTTGAAGATTCCTAATTTCAACAAAGTATGAGGAAAACGATTCACGGTTCAGGACTTCTTGAAATACAATTTTTGATAAAGGTTTATGGGAGACTAATGATAGGTTGTATCCGCATGTGTCGCCACTAATCAAAAAGCTTGGTCGTAGCTTGTTTTTATTGGATAACTGCTGTTTTACGCCGCAGTTCGCGTTGCGAAAGTTATCACAAGAATGCTGAGTTGTGGGCAAAACTTTCGCCCCAGCCGGGATTCGTACCCGGATTCTCTTGCTTTCCGGGCAATTGTGCTACCAGTTACACCATCAGGGCACCAGCCAGGGTCAAGCCAACCGTCGAGGAAAATTTGGAAATACGACCCCCCCTCCCCCTCCCCCAAAGGCCGAAGTCCATGAAACAACCCTCTTCAAAAGCCGAACTATGAAAAGGTTGTTTAATTCTCCCAAAACTGCTCATAAAAAAGCCCTGCTACCCCACCGTCCACAAAAAATTCGTTTAAGAAGTACAAAAGTGAAAAAGTCAAAGAATGATCATTATTGATGAGTCCTACCAAACGAGCAAACGAGAAACGGAGCAAAAAACGACAAACTAGTCACTAAAAATATATTATACGCGAAACATTAGTTGCAGTATAATATTTATTATGATCTACAGCGAATAAGTACCAAGATAGGCTTAGCTCCCGAGGATGCTCGGTCTCTCACCTCCGTGATCTACTCTGCCAGGCTGATCCGGCCAGCGTGATAGGACGAGATATCGATCTGATATCTGCCAGGTTCGATATCGAGCGCGCCTTTTGGCGCCAGAACCTGGCGGGAAGAGTCCACGCGGGCCGAGCCGGCAAATTGTTTTCCAGTTTGCTGAAGGGGAAGTATGCGCCATGTAGGTCGTAACGCTGACCTTTTGGACATGTTGGATTGTACTGCGCAATTCGCAACATTTATTATTGAACTTTCAACAAACATACTAACAATTAGAGCGCGGCCTCCTACTCCCTCCCTAGGGAGATCAATCGGTCCTGTTTTTGGACTTTTTGACGGTGGAACGTGGCGTGGTGGGCTTTTCTCTTGCTTCCGGAGATCTCTTTCGCCTCCAGTTTGCTGTTTTCTCGTTCGCCGTTTGACTCTCCTTATTGCTGCTGCGTCTGTAAAGGAGGTCTTGAAAGATCAGAAATCGAGTGGGTGGGCAGGGAGGGTACTTGGTACTTATTCGCTGTAGATCATAATAAATATTATACTGCAACTAACGTTTCGCATAATATTCTATTATAATCGACAGCTCATAAGTACCAAGATAGGCTCGTTCAAATCACCTCAGGATCGATTTCTGATACGATTCTCTTTTAGCATCACGACGATAGAAGTCCTGGAACGTAGAGGACCCAGGAGCCCAAGCCGCCGCTCTCATTATCGTCTCTAGTGACAGGCCCTGTTTGTATGCCTTAGAAGTACTAGCGGAACGCGTGGAATGAGCTGCGAAGCCGTCCCCTACATCAGCTTCAACCAGAACCATTTTGATCCACCGTGCCACGGTGGCCGACGAGATTGGTCTATGAGGCGATGCGTACGAAAGCAGCAGTGTCTGCTCCCCGCCGCGGAGTTTCTCTGTCGCTGCGAGGTATTGCTCTAGTGTTTTGACGGGACAAAGGAGACTGTTAGCTAAGTATGCTTCGTACACCGCTGACTGAGGGTCCAAATCTTCGTATCGTGAATTCGATAGTATCAAGCAAACACCCATTAGCTCCTTTGAAGGCTTCGCAAGGAGAAGGAAGCTATCTCTGACACTCGTTTGGGCGAGCATAACGCTAGTAAAATGGTGAGCTTGAGAGTGAGCTGTTTCAGGGGCAACCGCGAATTTGGACCAAGGTTGGTGATGTAGTTCAACACCTTGTCGACCTCCCACGTAGCGGAATACCTAGCCTTGGGAGGATTAATTCGAAAGAGGCCCTTCATGAACCGCGTAACCAACGGGTTCTCTCCCCACGAGGTTCCAAATAATAGATCTGAGACCGTGGTAATGGCTGCCTTGTGCGACGCTACTGATGAGTAGCTGAGACCTCTATCCGCCAAGGTTGCTAGGAAGTTGCACAAGGTTATATGGAAACAGCTTCTTGTTTAGGTTCTCTGTGTAAGAGATATTCATGCCACTTGCTCAAAGAGGAGGCGTACTCTGTCGCCGAGTACTTGGAGCCCAGCTGGCCAGGAGAGTATTGATTGCCTGTTTATTGCACCCAGCAGAGGCCCAGGATGTGGCGAGATCCTCCAAGCTAGCAACTTGAAGTTCTTTTGCGATAGTAGAGGGTGCTCCTGCCCCTGAGCGTTGGTCAGTAACGGTCGGCTCTCGCATATGAGCAGGACTGGCGGCCGCTCTGCGTGCTTTAGAAGGAGTGGAAACCAGGATTGACTTCTCCATAGCGGAGTCACGAGTATCAACGTTGCGCCATCTCGGACTGCTTTCCGGAGTACTCGTCCGATTAGATTGAATGGCGGAAAAGCGTATCGAAGGTCGCCGACCATTTGTGCGCGAAAGCGTCTACTTTGGCAGCACCTGGATCAGGATTCAGTGAGAAATAAGGCTTCAATTTGTGGTTTAGTCTTGAAGCAAACAGATCTACCGTAGGCCTGCCCAAGTGCGAGAATATTTGCTGTGACACTGAACTATCTAAGGACCACTCAGCTACTTCTCTGGTGAACGATCTTGACTCGGTGTCAGCTAATAGATTTTGTTCACCCCGGTCTATGTGTTGCGAGAAGGCGTATCCTCCTTTCCCAACACCACGACCCTATCTGTTGCGCTAGGTCCGATAACTCTTCACTTGTCGTGCCACCTCTGCGCTTAAGATAGGAAATTGCTGACGTGTTATCCATCTCTAAGAGAACACTAGTGTCCCTCCACTGATTACCAAAGGCTTGCAGACCGAAGAACGCTGCTTGTAGCTCTAACACGTTAATGTGGCGAGCTGCCTCTTGTTCGGTCCACCTACCGCCTGTGCCTCTACCGTTGCACATCGCTCCCCAGCCTGCCTTCGAGGCGTCTGTTGTTATGGTGATGTCTGGAGAGAAAAGCGTAAACGGGTGACTGGCGTAGGCATCGAGCCTTGTCACGAAACCACAGCATATCCGCGAGCGTCTCCCCCCTCAATGGTATTAGGTTCTCAACGCTTCACTAATTGAGAGGCCAAAGGCATTTTATCATCTCACTTGTAGGCCGGTCATGTAGCGTGGAATAATGCGATGCCAAAGCCTATAACAGAGCGTCCAAGAAGGCCGCAGCCTCGCTGCCTCGATACGCTTCCTCCTGAGCAATGCCGAGGCTTCTGACCGTATTCGGTCTAACTTTTTGGGAGGGATTCTGAATTCACCGAGCCTTGCGTCTATGATGAGGCCTAAGAATTCCAGCTCCTGAGTGGGGACCAATTGGGATTTAGCGTGATTTATGCAGAGACCTAGGTGCTCAAATATCTGAATGGCATACGCAATATGGCTCCTGCACTCTTCCTCTGTGTTTGCAAACACAGCCCAATCGTCCAAGTAGTTGAATTACTCTTATTCCGCGCTCCCGGAAGTGGGCCGCGACTACTCGCATTAATTTGGTGTACACATAGGGTGCCGTTGCTAGCCCAAAAGGTAGGCAAGTGAATCTGTAGAGGTTTCGGTTCCACCAAAAAGGCGAGGTAGTTCCTGTGATCCGCTGCGATATTGACCGCAAAGTACGCATCTCTCATATCAATCTTGGCCAGGAAATCCCCCTTGTAAGCTACATCTGACACAGAGTGCAAATTTTCCATCTTGAAATGTGGGATTTCAAGAAAAGCGTTGAGTGGCTTCAGGTGATTATGGGCCTTGTTGAACCATCCTTCTTGGGGATCCCGAAAAGTGAAGACACCCAAACCTTCGTGTTTGTGGGGACCCTTTCTATCGCTCCCTTCTCTCTGAGCAAATCTAGCTCCTCTGAAAGGGCTCTGGTTGTCATTTGAGAGAGATGGGGAGGGCCAGGCACGGTTTGCGTCTCCCGAAGGGGATTCGATATCCTTTGATGGATTCCAGAATGAAGGGGTCTCCTGAGAAGCCTTCCCATGACTTTACGAAGTCTGCTAACCTCCCAGCTATGCGGTTTGAATACATGTACGGATCTTTTATGGTCGCTTCGCTAGACCCCTGGGCACCGTGGGAGTCAAGTATTGTATCAGAAACTCCTAAAGGTAACGAACGAGGCAAAAAAGGATAAGAATACGCCCACCTGTTCCTTATCTGGCGTGGAGGTGTGGCCTTCCTCTTTTTTGCGCTGGCTCTCAGCTTCTGCAACGACTTCGTGATTGCTGAGTCCCCTGCAGCTAGTTCGTCTCGGAGTTCTTTCCCGAATAGGTCCGGGATAAGAGTCTGGCGCATGCGGTGCACCATGGTAGAGCCTGCTAACGGCAATCTGCGATATGATGGCATCGCTCTTCTTGGTTCGACTCCCAAGGCTTTGAGAAACCGTTCTCTTCTGAGAACGATCAAGTCCATAAGCGATCCTGATACGAGTGTGTCCAGGATCTCAAAATATCCAATCACTGGAGCAGCGAATGTGCCGCCCTGGCCATCTGCGCCGAGCTTCCTGACCAACTCGACAATGTTGAGGACATTGAGTAGCGTTTCGTGCAGGGTGCGCAGCTCCGGTTCCCTGACTAAAATGGCGCGGTCGCTGTCTCGAGGCAATTGTTCGTCGATTGCCGGGACCTCTCCGAAAAGAGAAGCGACTAGAGGTAACTCCCTCAGCAGTGAGGATCTCTCGGCATTGCTGAGCGGCACTCCTGCGGCTAGCGTGTCGAAGCGTTCTCGAGCTTGCTGAAAAAACAGAAGCTGGAGTGCCACTAGTCTGACATATTGGAATAAGAATTGATTGGAAACTATCTTCAGCCACAGTAACCCACCTCTGTTATGACACTCTTACACGAAGTGTCTTCTGCGGCACGGCGGGAGTGCGGGACGCTCGTCCCTGGCAAGTCGAACCGTGCTTCCTGGGGATGCGGCAGTCCGGCGGTGGTGGAGCTAGTGGCGATACGTAGCTCAGTCCCTCTTTTCGATCTGTGCTCCCTTCGCGCGAAGGTGAGCTCGAACTGGACTGAGAACGTGATCTTCTCTCCGACTCCCTTGATGAGGCCGACGAGCTTGAGGAGTCTGAGCTCGAGTGTCGGTGCTGATTATGAACTCTGGGTAGATCCACAAGTCAACTTGCGACGAAAGTGAGCGAAAACCCGAGTTGATAGCATGGCTAAGCAACGAAGAGGGTGATCGCAAGCAGGAGGATGGACCCGGGCTGCCACAAGAGTAGCAGCGAAGAGAGTCAAGACGAGAACCATAGTTCGACGTCCTGGACGTCGACGACGGTGGTTCCGTGGTGGAGACCGTGAGCATACGCTCACCGAAGCAAACTGGAAAACAATTTGCCGGCTCGGCCCGCGTGGACTCTTCCCGCCAGGTTCTGGCGCCAAAAGGCGCGCTCGATATCGAACCTGGCAGATATCAGATCGATATCTCGTCCTATCACGCTGGCCGGATCAGCCTGGCAGAGTAGATCACGGAGGTGAGAGACCGAGCATCCTCGGAAGCTAAGCCTATCTTGGTACTTATGAGGCTGCGCTTCCCTAAGGCATTTTTGCCCACGACTCTACTTCATTTACTTTCCTTCTCAGGACATACAAATTTTAGTACAACACAGAGCATGGTTCGCAATTTACACGTCCCCTTTCGCTTGAAAGAAGTCTTGTAACCGCTATAGCCAATTGGGTGTTGGCTAATCTTTGGCGTTGACCGTGGAGCAGCTTATTTACTATTGAAATTTGAACAAATATTCAAATGATTATAACTTTCTTCAAATATGACGAATTTTCAATCTGAAAGCAGATTTGGGAGTTTTGTGAAGAGCTTTTTCTAATCAGTATTGAAATTACAAAAAGTTATAAGAAATAACAAATTTAGGATCAATTAACGAGGAAAATTCGAGATGAGCACGAGTTTTTACACTTTCCGAAGCAACAACTTGCTTCATTTTCGTCAAATTCGAAAAGTTAATATGGCAGACAAAACTAGAAGATTTTCTCTACCAAACCGTTGCTAAAGCAGCTTATACGTCCAGTATTCAAAAAATGGCCACGTTGAGGATTTCTGCAAAATTAACGAGGAAAATTTGTGATGAGTGCGAGTTTTTTTATTTCCTAAAGCCATAAACTCCGTTCAAACTCATCCAATCCGAAAAGTAAATACGTCATCATAAACTAGAAGATTTGCTCTATCAAATATTACTAGAACTGCTTCAAACTAGCAATGGCATTTGCTTATCACGCGCGCGACCCGGGGATCCAATCCAGAGTTGTGCGTCGTCCAGAGCCTACCAAGCCTTTCATTCCTCCGGGTTCGATTATTTGGTACTAGACTTGTTTGTAAGGACAAAAATTCTGGCTTCGTACATCGGCTGGCCCCACAAGTCATTGTATAGGCCGAATCGCATTCAAACGCCACCACGAATGTCACAAATGGAAGTAGAATGCGTGCCGCATCCGGAAAGCTATCGAGCGCCTGATTTAGCAATTATTCTGGTGATTCCGAGAGGATTGTGAAAGGTCCTTCTAAAGGAAGAACACGTCAGCGTCACGCCAAGAGTGGCCGTACCCATCCTCTCAACACCAGCAGGACTCAAGCAGTTACAAAAAGGGATCTTACACCACGACAGAATCAGAAAGCAAAAGTTTTCAAATTGCTCAGAAGCCATTCTAGCTTGTTGGGAGAGGTCTCAAACTTCGTAGCTATCGCCTATATGGAGTACAGCACTTTACAAATGTTCACAAAGCGAAGAGACTGAAGAAATGTAAGGAAATGCTGAGTATGCTCGCAGTGCATCACAACTTTTATTTCCTCGCGTACATTGCTGAGGAAAAATGACCTAGGAACATCACAAATTTGAAGTTATTCGATTTTTAAGTAGCATAGAACACGGAGAAGTTGAAAAAACATTCTTGACGGTCTACTTCAATGAAATCAGGTCACGCTGGGAGGAATTGTACAGGAATGTCTGCATGGCTCCGTCAACTGCGCGGAAGTTAAAGATTTCGCGAAGGCAAAAAGAAGTCACTTTGAAAACATGTACAGGATCTGTGCGTGCATATGTTTTTTTTTTCATCTGAAGCACTGAGTCTTGAAAGAAAATTTTTTTCATGAAATGGCAGCGGTTCGCGTATGCCCACACTTATCGGTTATTCGTTCTTTTGAAGTCACTCGAAACATGATAGCAAACGTAAGACGAAGGGGCCACTCCCCAACGGGAACATTTTATAATATAGAAATAGAATTAATAAACAACACATATGACATAAAACCTATGCTTCTTGCTTCGAAAAATGCATGAAATTACGAAAGTTAGAAAGCAGCCCATTAGAAATGAGGTAGAAGTGGTCAGCGCTTGAAAAACAACCATGAAAAACTGCAAAGAACTCAAGGAAAGGGACCCCTTCCTGCCCGTCGATTTCTGCACTGATGCGACTCTCATAAGTGCTGCCATCTTTAACGCTGAAGCTCAAGCTGCTGAACGTCTGAAGAGCTGCGAGTGGTTAGCCAGCCGGAGGCCGAACCGCGCCGAAAGCGTCGCCA